CACCTCAGAATCCCTTATTGAATAGAAGATAAAAAAAGCATTTAAAGAACTTTAGCATTCCTCGTTTCAACCCTTCAGGCCCGGTTAGGTTTGATTTAGGCAGCTTTTGGTGGACCCAAAAAAACCCACTGTTATCCACTGGCGAAAAAAAAAAGAAGAAAACCCCCTGGTTTTTATATGCCTGAGGTGATGCAGGTGACCCGACGGGCGGGGAACCCGACTGGTGAGCCTCGTAAACTGCTTTGCTCTTGAACATTGGCTTATCAATGGTATGTGATTTTAAGCCTCTGATCTTAGGACGCTTCATTCATTCCTGGCCCATGTGCGAGGAATGAGCCCTCTGCAAGGAAGATGAGCAATAGCGAACTTCAGAAATCAAACAGCATCATACACATGAGACTAGATAGTCGTGACCTCGGACCAATGGCAGAATTGCTTCACGAGTTTCACCAAATAAGAGCACACCAAAAGCTCATAATTGACAATGCTGGAATAGTCTCATCATCATCAACGTGATATCCTATCTGGCGCTCGGCGCCCGGACAACGAATGGCAGATCCTATCTAGCCTAGACTACAATGCTGCTCATGACGTCAACAGTTCCCTGAAGTACGAGCCGATCTCGGCCAATGCCGCACGCCTCAAGCACCAGGTATGTCTCTCGTATCACTCACAACCTCGTTCCCCAACTCACCACTTGCACCCCAGGACCACCATGCGCCCCATCCAGCATACAGCAGCGCTGCTCGGCTGTGGCTGCCTGCTCCTTCCTGCTCGCCCGTGAGCGCGTGAGCCTGACCAGTGTTAGCGCAGCAGCGCTCGCGCAGCATTCAGCCAGTGCACGAATATCCAGTGCATGGGCAGGCCCTTCCCTATATCAAAGTGGCCTGCTGCTGCGTGCCATGCTGCGGTACCGGGCCCCGTCCTAGAAGCTTCCGGTAGGCCCAGGGAGGCTGAGCCTCAGTCCAAACGAATCAGGCCCAGGGCCACCGACAGTTACCCGTGCCCAACTGCCCACTGTCTGAGTTGGGTCCATGCTGCGTATCTTGCCCAGGGGCTGACTTAGATACATTTGATAAAGAAGGCCAGGGCCTGGGCGCCTTCAACCAACTGGCGCTGCGCAACTGCCTGAATTCTTACCCCAGTTGCGAAGTAGTCCAAAATAGGCCTCTTGTCGTCTGTCGAGCCTGCCTTCGCTTAGACGGCCGACCTGTTGCAAATAGGGGCCCGGTAGGGCTTAGTGAGGCCTTGTGCCTCGCACCTCGTTGGGGCCCTTGTCAAGCATGCACATGTTTAGGCCAGAGGCCCGCAGCAAGCAAAGTGCCTGCCCTAAGTGAAGGCGGGCCTGACTATTCACTAAAGGCCGAAATTCGACATGTTTGCATATGTGGGTACTCAGGCTGTTGCAGCCTGCCAGTTGGTTGAGTGGATGCGTGAACCTCCCTAAGCTGCGTCGTACAGTTTGGCGCAGGCCTTGGCTGTTGTGCCTGGGCACATACACACAATGCATGGTCGATACATCACGAAGTGGCCACAGGCCTACGCAAAAGCAGCACTGTCAATGTACATACCCCGGGTACTGTGCAAGTGCAGCTAACGGCCTAAGTCCGAAGACTCAGGCCGTGCCCAACTGTAAAGGGCCCAGGCCCTCAACTGTAGCATTGGGCCTGGGTGCAGGTACTGGGGCCCGACCGGAAGTTACTGGAAGCTTCCCAGGCAGGCCACATGCAGCCAAGCAGGGCCTGCCACTTCCGTATATGAAGGAGGGCAGCCAGAGGCAGGTATTCTGGCCCACACAGGCAATGCGGTCAAGCTGCTGTGCTGCTGCGTTAGAGGCTGCGTGCTGCGCTGAGGCCAGAGCGCGCGCAGGCGAGTGTAGGTGGACAGGGTCTGATGAGGGGAGATGAGATACGTACCTGGTACATGAGAGAGGTCGGCTATGGTGTCGACGTCATCCACATTGGTCTTCGAGAGTCACAGTGAGCCTGTTGCGAGAATGCTGATGTAGGTAGGATAGTCGAGTAGTGTAGGCTGGGTGCCAGACAGAGAGGAGCAACTTTGGATACTGTGTTGGTGTGGCCTGAGGGCTTGAACATTGGCTCTCATTACTTCATTGTATTGCTCTTATTTGGATGGTATCTCGGCGCATTTGTGTTCTCTGCTTGTACACGACTACTTGGACATCTGTGTGATCTCGCAACGTGGTTTTCTGTGTATCGTTCCCTCTCATATTCCTTGCACATGCCTCTTTGACTTGTTGCTATAATGTGTACAATATTTTTATTGTTGTTTTTTCCCCCCTACCATTATTGTATCCATCTGATTCATCCATTAGCGTTTGAAGTTTGAACTCGTAATCTGTTTTTTAAGATCACATGTGTAGCATTCAGCGACATGGGCTGGGTATAATGTTTTATAAAGTCACTACAAACCTACTTCAAAGATGTTTGATGCCCATCTGTGCAATGAACTTCAACAATCTATTGATCTGTCTTCTGTCTCACTTCCTCCTGCTAGCAGTCTCACTTATGTTGATGTCACAATCTATTGATCTGTCTTCTGTTTCAGCTGGATTGCCATTCATAAACACAAGTGAGAGATAAGATATCCGAAAGTGTGGCATCGGGCTTCACTGCATCGCTCACCAAATGATACAAGTATGCAAGATTGCAAAGTTCGGGATTGATTTTTCATTTTTTTCCCTTTTTCCTGAAGTCGAGCAGCGAGTCCCAGCTTCCCATGTTTTTCTCCTCCTCTGCAATGAGCTTGTGATGATGTGCTCGCTGCTCGGATTTTATGTTGGCAATCCATGCACAGGTACATCCCAGGGATCTCTCAGCGGATACAGGAGGAAAAAGCAGAAGTGAGCATTTGCATCTCTGCCCCTCACTCTGTTCTTCCCTCTCCTTGAAATGACACTTTTTTTCTTTTCTTTGTTTTCAATGAAACTGAAAATTCTGAAGTCACACTTTGGTCTCCTTGCAACAAAGATAAAGCCATGGAATAGGTAAAAGTACTAGAGCACTAAGCAGTACAAAAGAGTACTAAACATACTAAACAGTGCGAAACAGTTCTTAACTGTACACCAAATTACTAAACAGTACTAAACAGTACCAGACAGTCCTTCACACTAATAAACAGTCCTAAACAGTCCTAAACAGTACTAAACAGTACTAAACAGTACTAAACAGCACACAACAGTTCACAACAGTTCCCAACAGTACAAAACAGTACGAAACAGGACTAAA